GCAGGAGAGTTGTGTGTTGGGCTCCTGTTTTGGAAACACCCGCAGCGGTTGAACAGAAGGACCAGGTGGGGGCTGTGAAGCAGGGCTCCCCGTAAGCCTAACGGGCCTTTTCTCTCTCCCTACCTTCCCCAGCCCCACCCTTGCTCCTGCTCCCTTCCCCCAGCTGCCCCTTCTCATTTCAGCTTTCTCCAGGTCACAGTTTTTATCTCCCTCAGTATTTGTTTGTTGAAATTTTCCAAGAGAGAGACCTTCTGAGTCTCTCAGTTCGTCTTTGTTACTCGGGTCACGGCCTGGCCTGCCGGTCAGCCTGACGAGGCGCCCACTCAGGCCTCAGTCGGCCGGGACTGGAGGTGGGGACCAGGTCAGACGATTCAAAGCCTGCCTGCCCTAGAGCTGTCCCCTGAGCAGGGACTGGGTCCCCACCTTCTCGTCGAGGAGGCTGTAGGCAGGACAGTAAATAGACTCGATTTGCCAACTGCACTGTTATTGTCAAGAGGAAGAGGGAATGGATTGGCTTCCTTTGGCGCCAAGAAGTGGAGTAAAGTAGAAAATTTCTCCATGGTGGAAAGTACATGGAGACAGATTTGGGGGTGCGAAGGATAGAGAGGAAGGCAGTCTCTCTACCTCCATCCCTTCGGATGGGTACCACCGCCTTTGGAGGCGGCCAAGGTCAGGCAGAGTGGTCAAGGCAGCAGAATCTCCAATGGCCACTGGTGGCCAGTTCTCAAAAGCCACCCCATCAGGAGAGGGACCACAGCCCTGACCCAGTCCTCTTGTGTGCTGTGCCCAGCCGGAGGGAGAGGTGGGGCCACACAGTCACTGGGTGTATTCACACAGGCCGTGGCTGGGTCAGCAGGGGACACAGCAGTCACAGCCAGCCCCCAGCCAGCAACACTTCCTCCCTGTTGTATCCCCGCCCGCTCCGACTTGTCACCTTGCCCGTTTCTCTGAGTGGCCCCCTAAACACTCTTGAGTCCCACGTAACCTTTCCACTGACCAAGCCCAATGCCTCTTCCAGTAGAATAGAGTTGCCAGCTTAGGGTCTTGCCCACCAACTAGGAAGCG